GCGCTCCACAACGCGGCACCTACGCCAAGTGGTCCTACTTTTGACGTTTTGTTGAGAGGCACAAAAAAGCATGCAAGGCCTCTCGTCCGCCATCCTGACCACACACGCACACACCAAGAGCGAGAAAGACGTGCACACGCGACACACATGCCAGAACGCGTGATACAGCTTTAGGCCCGTTTTTAGTGGGAAAACGAAACTTCTTAATTCGAGCCAGCGTGGCTGGTGTCGCAGAGCGGTGGTGATGGGTGAAGGAGTTATCAAGAGAGGAGAGCAGATTTGCGAGAGAAAGGCAAGGAGTTGCTATATGGTGAAGAGAGGGGAGGATACGGCAGGAAGGCGACCTTGAAAATCAAAACACGCAGAAAAAAGGCAGGTCGGGTAGCTTGCTTGAAAGGTCCGCGCAACTCACAACTCGCACGTAGAGAAACTTGAGAGAGTGCCTGTGCGTGCGGCGGTGTTCAATGCATTGGCGGCCGTGGTCAAAGAATCGCTTGGTTGCGCCAGCGGGTTTGCATGGCCTCACCGACTTTGATATTTTGCGATTCGTTGCGTGCTAATTACCAGACGTTTTTATGCTTCCGCATGCATACTGAGTGCATGTTGAGTCGAGTGTGAAGTGTGCGAGGACAGGTCCTAAACATGAAACGAATCGCGAATTATCAGGGTCGGTAGGGTAGCGAATGTATGTGGACTAAAACGATATGATAAGACAAGATGCAGACGATCGGATGGAGTTGGTGGCCGACGATGTTGACAAATGGTCTGGTCACTCCAGGCCGGCGACACCAACGACAGTACCAGCGATTAAAAACAAGGGAGATGGCTGATCGGTCTTTCAACGATCGGTGGCAGTGTTAAAACACGCACCCCTTCGTCCTTTGACCCCCCCCCCACAAAAGCGGGGGGACAAAGAACGGAGGGGTGCGTAATAAAAAGCGGTCAGGAGAGCGGCAACTAGAGGAAGGCGAAGGCAGGTTTGGCGTTTAATAATAAGAATTTATGGGCACCTCGCCGATGCCTGGTCGAAAGTGGTTTCTCGGGAAGTCGGCAGAGCATAGACTCCTTTCGCTGTAACCGATCGGCGGTGCTTGGAGACGTTCGTTCTAAGTGCGATTTTGTGCCATTAAAACAATCTATATTTTCACGGTCATGCGGATATTGTTCGTTTTAAACGAAAGTTCATTTTAAGTGGGGCCCCTATATGAGGGCTCGACTGTATAACAGAAAATTTGCAAACACACTTGTTTTCTTTCTACAAAGTAGAAAATTAATTCATAGAGCTTTGTGTGCTAAACAGGAATATAAGTTTGCACATGCTTGTCTTGTCAACCACTGCCCATTTTTAGATTGAAACTTACAGTGAATAAAGTTGCATAGTTGCACGCATTTGCTGCAGCAAGAATGGGTTTCTTTGCTGCAAGAACGTGCCACAAGTACCCATTCAATTGTTCAATTCGACACAGAATGATTTATTACGTCTTGAAAAAGCACTGTGCTTGAGCTCTGTGGCTTCAATAGGTGCCCATTGCAGACGACGCCGGATGCCAGGGGGGTTTTCTTAGGCATTATGAGGAGCTATAATTTTTTTCAGGGCAGTTATTTAGCATTTTGTACAGTCAATGACGAAGCCATAGCAGTATTTCACTGATTTCGTTGACGTGAAGTACAACAAAAATAATAAAAACGTAAATGCGAAAGCGGCTGCCGGCTGTTCAGGTGAGTGCTGGGGAGCAATCCAAGCTTGCACATTATAAAGTTGCCTCTACGTGGGGGCACCAAGGTATCTTCTCGCACCCAATACCGTAAATACACCTTTCCGAAAAAATCCACTTTGCCACTTCAAGGTTAACTGAACATACAATCGCACAGGGATCCATCAACCCGCATATATAGTTTGTGGCTCTATCAAAATGTAATTTATCTCCTTCAACATTCCCAAGTAAAAGTACGGGAATTTGTATGTTCATATAGAACAGTACTTTTATCAGCCATGAAATATATCAAATGCTGCGTGAGCTCGAAGGTGCGCTTCGGTACTCGCTGCTCCATGCAACCTCTGCAACACCGCACTTCTGTCGACACCTGAGACACATGAAAAACTAGGGAACGAGCGGGCTCGGACTACGACTGCTGGGCCAACTGGACACACTCGCCAACATTAATTTTTTTTCCTCCATCTCTCTCTGTCTCATACTTTCACCTCATAGCTGTAGTGATCAGCTCACAGTACAGGGACAAAAACGCTGGTGGTCTCCTCTTTACACCTCTTTTTCTGTCTCCCTTTTATTTTTTTCCTGATTCAATGATTTTTTGCTCAGCCAACCCCAGCTCATGTCTTTTGTAAAGGTGACATTCGTGAGCGCATTTTGCTGGTAGAGTCCGCTTTGTCCTCACATGCTCATCGTGTACTGGCATACCATTGCACTCGTTTTACGCACCCACTGTGCATAGACTGCTATTTTCAGGCAATGGCCGCAGGAAGCCCAGGCAGCGTTAAGAAACGCAAGAATCTGAACTCCACGACAAAGCTGAACAGCGCGTTGTCGTGTGCATGCTTCTGCCCATGAGAACATCTAAAGGCTCTCTAGGCCTGGTTTTTAAAAGTCAGGGCCAAGAACATTTCAGTAGATAGCCCGATGCTAATGGCTAAGGCCAGATGGTTTGCCCCGGCACTCCATGAAGACAACTTCTGCCACAGCACTGGGTGGCTGCACGAAAAGCCCTAACACATTTTTGGCAAAACCATTTCTGGCAAAAGCGATGCCATCAGCAGCCAGGATATCCAACAGAGGATCCCAAAGGAGTGGCATCAAATCTCCTCGAAGTTTTCTTCTGCAGAAATCTTCAACGCCAATGAAACCAGACTGTTTTGGAAAATACTGCCAAGCAAGACACTCCGCATGCAGAGCTGCACTGTCCCGGGGGTGAAACGAGGTTAAATATAATTTTGTTGTAGGCAGTGCAACCCAGACTAAAGACTAAAAAGCAGTACAAAAACAGTGCTTGTTTGTGTATGTTTGTCTAAGTCCTCTGTCCAGGCCACGCTGCTCACAGCGAAATTATGTTTAACTACACACTCGCCCAGCTTGCCATTCTCATTGAAGAAAAAGTACATGTGAGCATTTTGCTGGCAGCCAACATAGATTGCTCATGAAAGATCCAGCCCTTTGTGATTGGCAAAGCTAGGGCACTGCGCTGCTTTGAAAATGGCAAGCAGCTCCTCGACCGTTATGGCTTTAATAAGAAGGTGTGGATGATACGTCAGCTATTCATAGAATGGTTGCAAGCGTGGGACGCCGAACTGTGCAAGTTTGGGTGTCGCACTTGCCTTCTTGTGGAGCTCGACCCGACCCCCCACTTCCGAGCTCAAAAACATTGAGTTCAAGTTTCAACTTACCAACACCACAGCGAAGCTGCAGCCACTCGACCATGGCAACATCAAGTCACCCTTTGAAGGTGGGTTATAGGAGGTTACTCCTTGATAAACATTGACTGAATCTCCGCATAGGCTCCGATCTTAAAGTTGACCAGAATGGTGCCATTAAAACGATGACAGGCACCTGGCAAAATATGAAGGTGGCCAACTGGTTGCAGAGGGCAGGCTTCGTGATAGCCGATTCTGAAACCTGAGGAGATGGAGAAGGCGGATGCTAGTACGACGTGTTCCACGAGTTGGCGTTCCTCCTCCCAGTTGCCGTTCCATCCGGTGTGTCTGCTGATGATTTTGATGACACCAACAGCAATGTTCAGGCTGTTGCGAGGCTCACCAGCGAGGAAATTGTAGCTGCTGTCGAAAATCGTCCAGACGAGAGGGTAGCTACACGCCCACACTTCGCCAATAATGTGGCTGCGGTGACATGGTCAGAACCGGACTGTCGCACTGAGACAACCTAGATAAGATCGTAGCCAACGTAAAAAAGCAGGCCGAGATTAACAAATACAGAAATCATTCGTGTGCACGAACATATCCTTAATGTACCCATTAGAAAGTTGGTTGTGCACTTAGAATACAAGGACATGACAGACACGGACGAGCCACGGCACACTACTGAGTCTATTGGCAGGTGATCGTCTAACAAAGGCAAGGTTCCAGGGCCTGTATTTTCTTATATTAATTTTTATATATGAATTATTCGTAATACCCTTCGAGTTCAATATGTCCATTTTTGACTGCAAATGAACAATAACGTTCACTTCAATTCGAATTTAGGTCATTTGAATCTTCAAAGTAACTGATCTACATGTAACTCCCCTGGAAAGGTGGTTGCACTGCAGTAAAAGAGTGCTAAGCTGTGAAAACACCTACTCCAAAAACACTGTTCTTGCCACGAAGCCCCATCTCAAGGTTAAATTAACATATATAACCCTTCCAACAATTAAAATTAAAAGCTTGTTATGCTGGCTTGTATGCTTTAAATATAGTCAATTTTAAAGGGCAACATATTTTACAAGTTACCACTTGCAGTCTAGTTAAATCTGGCTAATATTTAGAATTGCTTCCAATTCATTTGAGCCAAGAACTACATTTGCCCATGCCCTGTAACAATCTATTAAAAAATACTGTGAAGGTGGTCACAACAAATATGCTCATTTTTCTTTATAATATGTGATACACACTATTCACATTCAATTCAAAATTATTCAAACCAAATCCCTATTGGCAATCGGAAATTCAATATTCGCACAAGACTAGCTATGAACTAGGACAAACTAGCCTGACTTTCCGTACTGTTGACAGAACAAACAGAACAAAAAAAGGAAAGAGAATCAAGAAAAGAGAAAAATGGAGTGAGAGAAAAGGATGGAAAGTTAAAGTGCAAGAGGATAAAAGGAGCAAGAAAGAAGTAGAGAGACAGAAAGAGTAATAATAAAAATAAGAAAGAAAAGGAAAAAAAACAAAATTTTCAAAAATTGGCAAAATAGCAATAAACCACATCCGACAGCTCCACTGCTGTCGTTCATTTTCTTTTTTTCGTTAGCTGGTGAAATGAAGTCACCTGTCTGCCGATGTGGTGATCAGTTGGGCCAGTGCTGTCTCAAGCCCAACTTTAAGGTGAGAGAAGTGGGTACACACTGCCTGGCGCAGCTGGGCGAGGTCTTGTCGTAGCTCTGCCAAGTCCTGCTGACACTGCGACATCACGGAGAGCCGAGACTGCAGGCCCTGCGTAAGGATCGTCACCTTCACCCACAACTAGACTCAACGTGTAAGCAACTGAAACACATCTTTATGGGTCAGGTCAGGGCTCAATGTCAGGAACACTATCTGCCATTTGAGCAGCCCTGCAAATACCACGTTCACAGTAGTCATCAAAAGGTTCCGCTGTGGTACATTGATTGGGGTGCGTTCAAATCCTTTAGGTTCTCTTGGTACAATCACATTACCTACACTACTACTGTAAAATGGGCTTACTTTGTCACAAGCACTTGGGTTTCTGTATTTTAAATGTCACGCCACGGCCAGGCGCGGCCAAAAAACGATAGGCCGCTCAAAAAGCTCGTCTGACATGCCATGTGACTTAGCGGCAGCCGGCCAAGGTTCCCATACTGCGTAGCCACTCTAGACACCGATATGTTGAAAGGTATTTTGGAGTGCATTCTTGAAGCACCATAAATTGTGTGTGCTCAACTCGCCCCCACAAGAAAAAGAAGCGAAAACTGGTTTCTACTTGTGTCTGTTATTAGGTAGGCTACAATAAGCTGTAATATAAGTGTAATCAAGTCCTGTCTGTTTACGGTTATAGAAATTAAACTGAAACGATACTTCACGGCGTAACTTTGAGACATGCCAACGGCTGCAAAGTTACTCCAAGAAGGGCAGCTCTTCCTTCCGTATCAGAGCTAGACGACCTCAGAAGAAGTCTCCTCTTGAGGACAACAGTGCAGAAGAATGCAATGGCAGTAAATCATCATCATCTCGAGGGTCCATGGTGCGGGATTCGTAGAAAGGACCTTCAAGAAGAATGACATCGTTGTAGTAAACTTTGAACGACCACTTTACCCGGGAAGAGTGACGGCAGTCAAACCTGATGGGCACATCGTCAGCACTATGTAGAGGACCCAAAAGAATTGGAGATGGCCGGACTGCAAAGCTGCAATTTTGTACTCAAAAGAAGAAATTCTGTACTCAAGGCCAGCATCTTGAATTAAAAGATCTCGATGGACGAAGTACATGCACGAATAAGTTTTCACACAATTATGACATTGCTAGAACAGAAACCAATTGTAAATTACTCAAATAAACTTTTGATGGGGTAACTTTGTGCCAGCCTTTTTTTCCCAATCATATTGAGCTAAAAACAGCGTTGTCCCAATGTTGCCCTACACGATTGTCCCAGCTTGTAAGCTGAATTTAGCTGTTTGTATTTAAAATGCTGATTTGTAGATGATTCAGTCGTGCGAGGGAGGGTTTTAGAGAAGTGTCATTATTCATTCGCTTTTATTTGCGAGTTTTTCAGCAAGGAAAGGAAAATGTGCACACAAAGTAACCCCATTATACAGTAAATGAACTTGCCTGAAGAGATGGTACGGACAAAGCTTCAATGACTCTGAATCAGTATGGAATATGTATGTGCAACTGTAATTTTTTTTTTCAGTGTACTACATATGCTTCTACTTCTATTTGAAATTTAGCAAATTTCCAATAGCTTTGATAAGTACAAATTAAGCATGTCGGTTACTAAGAATTCCAATCTAGAAAAGTTATTGAAGTTATGATGTGTATATGTCAATACTAAGAATTGTAATCTACAAAAGTTCATGTAGTTCTGAAGTGTATATATCGTCTTTTTCTTCATTGATGTCTATATGCACTTCTTTAGTGCTTTTTTTTCCTCATGCTTTTTTTTTTCCTCTTTATGTGATGCATTCTACCTACATTATGGTTGTAATTTGTAAGCCATAGTCTGGTTACATAACTGTAAGCCATAGTCTGGTGCACGGGTCCAGTCAAGCCTTCTCGGGCTTTTTGTCCGTGAACCGAATATCTTTAAGATGTTGAATAAATTGGATTGAATTGAATCTAGATATGACTTCTAAGGCGTCACACATCAATTTATTTAATTAAAAAGAAATAATTCAAATAAATTTCAGAGATTTCAAGGTCATGTCACACGTCATTGCAAGGACCAAAAAAGCCTTCCAACTAATAATTTTTATTTTTTTACTATGAGAACATTTAAAATTTTGACTAAATCTATTGCACTTATGCCAATACAGTTGAAGTTATATTTAGCAAAGTCTTCACGATGCTAAAATTACTTTTTAAATAAGAAAGTTTTTAAAATCAAGAAACGTGTTCTTCTGTCTTTCGAAACCTAAGACCGTAACATATACATAGCAAACGTATAGCACAGCATTGTTTTACCACGAACCCATGTTCGGTTGTATGAAAAAACTGTTCAAGTGTACCAAACATTCAGCCTCAATTTCTTTATTTATTTTAATTTATTTCATTTTATTTAGACGTACTGTGCAACAACAATTTGGTCCAGCTGGAAGGGCAAAAGAAACATCAAGTGATTCGTAATAGCAGGAATAAGAAAGGATGAATTTAATTGCACAAAAAATACGCATTAATACACTAACACAAACCACATGTCTGCGAAACAGCGGCACCGTTATGACAGATCTTGATGCTAAACACAAAAGAGAATTTTTCAGTGATGCAGAAAAAGTCTCAGTCGTAAAAAATCTTCTAAAGCAGTGAATTCCAGCCATTAACTGTACTGGGAAAATAACTGTGTTTGTAAGCATATGGGTGGAAATATGGGTGTCAAACATAGATCATGTTTACGTCAGGTTATCAGAGCAGTGGCTGATCGGACAAAACAAGGTACCTTTAATGCAACTTTTCATGGCATAATTCTGTAAAAAACCTTGAAATACTCACCTTTCGATTTGTTTCTAACAAGAGAATATTGTGTAATTGCACTAATGTACAAGGTAAGTCGAGCATTTGATAATTGTTAAAAGCTAATTGCCTTACATTGTACTTTATCAAGGAGCATTTTCTTTTTTTTTGTACAGATGTCCCACATGACAAAACAGACAAAAACTTTATGCTAGAGAGAATTCCTCTGAACTTTTGTTTAGAAAACCATATTTTACGAAGTGCTTTTCTGCAAATGTCTGCTCTATGTGGTCTCCAAGTAAGGTTGCTGCTAAGAGGAATGTTTTAATATTTATAGTTTTCTACTTGTAACACCGCATCACCATGAAGGATGTAGCAGGGGTGCAATAGCCAAAACAGATTTTGGAGCAATATTTGGAGCAGCGAAGTGCTACTCTTGGAGCACTAAAATCTAAATTTCGAGCAAGTTACGGGAAAAAAAATTTATGTAAGAGCAAATTTGGAGCAGTACAAAAAAGGCTTACATTTAGGGAAATATATATGCCCCGCCGCAGTGGCCTAGTGGCTAAGGTACTCGGCTGCTAACCCGCAGGTCGCGGGTTCGAATCCCGGCTGCTGCGGCTGCATTTCCAATGGAGGCGGAAATGTTGTAGGCCCGTGTGCTCAGATTTGGGTGCACGTTAAAGAACCCCAGATAGTCGAAATTTCCGGAGTTCTCCACTACGGCGTCTCTCATAATCAAATGGTGGTTTTGGGACGTTAAACCCCACATATCAATCAATCAATAGAGAAATATATATACAAAAACAAATGAAAGAATATTTAACAGTTGGATAGGATAGTCAAAATAGTTGAGGAGTTTTACATAAATATGTACAGCAGCCGGGACAACCACAATCATAATGAAAGAACTCGCAGCAACAAAGAGGACATCCCACCGGTAATAATAGAAGTCAGAAAAGCCTTGGAAGGAATGCAAAGAGGCAATGCTGTTGGGGAGGATTGGGTAACATCAGATATGCTTAAAGATGGAGGACATATTGTGTAAGAAAACTAGCCATTCTGTTTACGAGGTATCTCCTGATGGGAAGGGTACCAAAATCTTGGAGGAATGCTAATATCATGTTAATACATAAGAGATGAGATGAAAAGGACTTGAAGAATTACAGGTTGATCAGCTTGCTCTCCATCGTATACAAGCTATTTAAAAAGGTAATTGCTAACAGAATTAAGACAAGATTAGAATTCAATCAACCGAAGGAACAAGCAGGATTTCGAACAGGCTACTCAACAATCGACCACATTCGTACTATTAATCAGGTAATAGAGAAATGCTCAGAATACAGCCAACCCCTATACATAGCCTTCATTTATTACGAGAAGGCGTTTGATTCAGTAGAAATATCAGTGGTCATGCAGACACTGCGGTATCATGGTGTCAACAAAACATATATAAACATACTGAAATAAATCTACAGGGGATCAACTGGTATCATAAGGCTTCATAAAGAAAGCAATAGAATACCAATCAAGAAGAGTGTGAGGCAGAGGGGTACAATCTCCCCGATGCTGTTTACCACATGCTTACAGAAGGTTTTCAGAGGCCTAGAATTGGAACAGTTAGCGATAAGAGTTAATGGAGAGTACCTTAGAAACCTGCGATTCACCGATGACATTGCATTACTGAGTGATTCGGGGGATGAATTACAACGCATAATTATGGAGTTAAACAAAGACAGCAGAAAGGTATGTCTTAAAATTATTCTGCAGAAAACGAAAGTAATGTACAACAACCTCGGAAGAGAGCAGCGTTTCTAGGTAGGTAATAGTGCACTTCAAGTTGTAAAAGGCTATGTCTACTTAGCACAGGGAATAACTGCGGAACCTGACCACGAGTTTGAAGTATAAAAATAGGGTAGCGCACATTTCTCAAGCGCTCAAATCATGACAGGTAGATTGCCACTATCCCTCAAGAGGAAGGTATATAATGGTTGCATCTTGGCGGTACTTACCTACGGAGCAGAAACCTCTATGCTTACAAAGAGGGTACAGCTTAAATTGAGGACAACGCAGTGAGCAATGGAAAGGAAAATGGTAGGTGTAACCTTAAGAGACAAGAAGAGAGCAGAGTGGATCAAGGAACAAATTGGGGTTAAGGATATCATAGTTGAAATCAAGAAGAGGAAACGGACATGGGCCAGGCATGTAGCGCATAGACAGGATAACTGCTGGTCATTAAGGGTCATTAACTGGATTCCCAGAAAAGGGAAGCAGGTTAGGGGAAGATAGAAGGTTAGGTGGGCAGATGAGAT